ATGTACCATCGTTGTAATTACATATAAAACTTCGTCTATACTCTAATAAAAAGTTCCCCAGACCAAAGAGGTCACCTAAATACCAAAAAAAAAAAAAATAGCGATAAATATATAAATATTAATATATATTAATATTTAACAATGATATTAAACTTACTAGTTGCAATATAGAAATAGTTTATTCTATTATCAATTGTAAATGTGTCAATAAAATTGGATGCTCCTTCTTAATACTTTATAGCAATTGCAGCTTGGTGTTTGTATGGGGCTTTTGAAATACCGACGAAGCAAGTGCAACTTTTAATAGTTAAATTAACTATATACATTTTTCCAATAGTCATAGTACTAGGTTCATTGAATGTAATACCATCTTCTTCATATTGAATATCTTCAAAATTAAGATTTTTCTGATTATAGCATAAAAATTAGGTTGCAATATATATTCTTTCTGGATATTGGTTTGAAATAGCCAAAAGGCAATATTCATAAAAATGTTCTAGATTGTAAGTCTGTGTTTGCCTAAAAACAATATCTTTTAAAAGTCCAAAACTCTTTTCTACATAATTATTAGTATTATTCTTTTATGTTAGTAAACCAATTCAAAAGAAAAGTGCCCAGTCTTGATGTCTATTCCAGGAGCGAATAACATAGATAGCAAGGTTTAGATATTTTCTAAAATATCGTTTTTGCAAATTTTCAAATAATAATTCCAACTCTGTTTTAGTTGATGCATACACTATAGATTTCATATATTTCATTATTAATAAACGATTATTTTTGTGAATATTATGATTTGCATTTTACAACTAGTGCCAAAATGCCTAAAGTAGATGAAAAATACAAAGAAAAATTTTGGCTTGATTTTAGCAACGTTAAAGTGCATTCCACTCTGTAGCAGAATTGTCTATAATAATTATGCATGGCCTAGTTTCTGATTCTCTATTATAAAATGTATTATGTGGTAGTATTGTTTTTAAAAGATTAAATACAAATATTAAAGTTTCTTCTAATTTATCAGATGTTAAAATAATTCTTAAAAGTAAAGCATTAGTGGCATAGCTTGTATATAACAAGATCATAAATGTATTTAATGAATCAAACAATAATAATACATCTATAGATGCTAGTGAAATTAATTTTATCAATTTCACTAATTTACTATTAATTTCACCAATAGTGGTGAAATTATTTCACTACATTTTACTATATTTCATCATATTTCACCAGTATCTATAGATATATTTATATAGCATATCTCTTCAGCTTGACAAATGTTTGCATGAATTCTTTGTATTAAATTGGTGATAATATATAAAACAAATGACTGTTTCTTATTTTTATCAAATGATCGAAAAACAACCTTTCCATGCCCTAATTTATTGTAAGCTCCAATTTCACATTTAAGTCATTCAAACATATTAGTTCTATTATGTGCTCCAAGTTGAGTTATATAAAATTTCTTATAAAGATTCTTAATATACTCACTATCTGGATTTATTAAACAATTAGCCAAAATAGTTGCTAATTTTTCTTTGTTCTTAGCCAATAAATACAACCTTTCTTCATATTTATAACGTGCAGTTAATAGAATATGTCCATATTGAAATAGGTATAAATATTTTTCATTTGTTTGTTCATTAACAGAATGAAAACTTAAAGATATTGCTGATTTAGGAACATGATTATGTATAAAATGAAGAAATACTTCAAGAGAATGTAATCTTTTTAAATTATGTTTTTCAATACGGAATCTAATTGTTGCTAAGCACTTAGTATCTCTTAGATATTTACTATGTGAATTCTTAAGTTGAGTACCTTTTTCTGTTTCTCTTTGACAATATAACTATAAATACAATGCCTTGTTTCACAAAATATAACTTGTTGACCTTTAAGAGCATGATTTCTAGTTTGGTGCATTGTTGTCTTTGTTTTTTCTTGAAAATTATCAAGCCAAATATGTACACGTTCAGCAGAATCAATATTAACCAAAAATAAAACAACTATTTGGTTTATTAAAATATTCTCATTTGTGATTAATGGATCAAGTTTGTGCAATTCATTAATTATATATAAATAATTCATAGGTAAAATATCAGCAATTTGCTCTGTAAGTGCAGTTTCTAAAATAGGCTATAAATTTAAAAATTAATATATACGTATTAATGAATAGTTAATGAAAATTTTTAAACCATATATTAATTTTATCTTATTTGTATTAGCAGCAATATTAAAATGCAAGTTAGTTTCCAAAGATGAAGTAAGATTTAATAATTCTGCCATTTCTTTATTTTATATTATAGTATAAGAAAAAACAAATAAACTAGTTTTAATTATTAAATAACTACAAAACTATTAATCAATATATCTAATTTATTTAACTAATATCCAAAACATGAAAATTTATCTTCAGCTATATGCTATCATCTAGATTTCTTTATCTCAAAAATAGTTCAGGTTTAAAGAATTTTTGAAAAAAATATTACATAACATATTTATTAAATTGATTAATTTTGATTTGAAACAATTGGGTTTTTCTAGGCATCTCTGGCCAAAGATATATAACTTATATATCTCTAGCTTATTAGCCAATTAAAATGAATAAAGGTCACGTAACCTATTTTTTTAAATCTTTGGCGAATCAGAAAAATTTGTGTAACCCAAAATCTGACCTAACTTTCCGAACATGAAAAATCGGCCAATCAAATTCAATAATACAAAAAAAAGTTTTAAGTTTTTAAATTTTTTTTATTAAAAAGTATTATTTTTTATT